CTGACAGGGAGCCACGCAGAGGCTGGGGCTGTGTTGGGGTCAGAGCCAAGGGGAGTCCAGCCCCGCAGGCAGCTTTCTTTAGCTCAGGGGTCTCAGTTACCCCCCGTTCCCAGAGCGAGGCCGGGGATGTTCCTGAAACTGTGTGGCGCTCAGGCCTGGGCGAGCCCCCATCCCCAGCTCTGGCCCGTCCATCTCCTGGCCGGGGGGGGGCTGCCCAGAGTGAGCAGCGTAACCGCAGGAAGGGGCCTCCCGCCTAGGGCCCTGCTAGCTCCCAGCAGCTGGTGGCTTCCCGGCCAGCTGGGTCCTAGAGGAAGAGCTTGTGGCAGAGGTGGCTCTGGACATAGATACACGCACACGCACACGCACACACGCACATGCACACACACGCTTCCTTCCTGCAGCCCAGCCACTTCCAGCCACCCCTAGCCACCCCCAGCTGTGCTGGAAAACAGGAAACTGGCCCTGGAGTCACACCTGGCCTCCCATCACCAGCTCTATGGTCTTGGGCTCCACTTCCCTGTCTTACGCATAAAGGGGCAGACAACCCCCATCCTCATAAATGAGGTCTTGGGGTGAAGAGCCCAGGAAGTGCTCAGGGAAGGTTGGCTTCTTCCTCTCCCTCGTGGACGCTATCATCCCTCATCATGAGGTCAGGAAGAATGCCTAGGGCTACCTTTGTCAGTCAAGAGAATCCAGCAGCTCCTATGCCTATCAGCTGTCTGACTCCTGCCCCTAGGCCAGAGCCACCCTAGGACAGAGTCCTTGGCCCTCAGCTGGCATCCAGGGCCTCCAGGCACCTGCCGCAGTCTGCATTCTGTACCAGTGACTGGCTCCTTGGTAGCCCTTGGGCAAGCCCGGACTAGCCACTGCCATCCCTTGCTGGCCACACCACTGGGAGGGACAGGCTTCCTGCCCCAAATCCCATTACCTCAAGGCCCAGCAGAAATTCCACCCACCCCAAGCGCCCAGCCCTCAGCATTCATCCAGCAAGCACCTCCGTGCCTCCTGCACACAGCCCCAAGGTAGCTGCTGGCACCCAAGCGAGTTTAAGGGTAGAGGCCAGCCAAGGAAGTGACTTGCATGCCGAGACCCTGGAGTCCCCAGGATGTTTTGATGATCTGTGGGGCTGTGTGGCAGGACGTTTGGAAAGCCTGGAAACTTGGTCATCACGGTGAGGCAGCTGACATTAGCACGGCCACATCCGTTTGCCTGTGGAGGTGGGGTTACTGGCAGCGGAGGGAACTGGGGCCCCTTGAGAAGATAAGTAACTTGCCTGAGGCCACACAGTGGGAACAGGACGCAGGTCTGCAGATACGTAGGTTAGAGCTGCTGCTGAAAGCCAGGGTGGAGGAGGCTGCCCGCTGCCTCATGCCTTCTGCCGGGCCCCAGGGATGTCCCAGGGACAGGGCTGCCAGTTGCCTTCCTGCTTCTCCTCCCCTGGGATGTCTGCTGAAGTGAGAGGGCCAGGCGGCAGCTGGGGGCTGTCACAGGCAGCGGGGAGCAAGGCCGGGCGGCTGGAAGCAAGCCACTTCCCAAAATAGCTCTGATAAGCACAGGGCAGGAGGGCCCGCCAGGCCTCAGCCCCGGGCAGGCAGCCTCTCTCTGGCCCTCCTCAAGAGGCCTGGGCTCTGCTGACGGGCTGATGGCCCAGGCCACACCTGCTCTGTCAGGGCCTCCATGCCTGGCCCAGGTGATGGGACTGTTCTGGTGTGTGACCCGGAAGCTGAAGCTGAGCGCAGCCCATGGCTGCAGGGGGCAGGGAGGTCTGGCAGGACGGGTGCATTTGGGCAGGGGCCACTGTAGGCTGGCAGGAGGCACCTGGGACTTCCGTTGTGTGCCAGGTCTTGTCAGGTCTCGCAGGGTCAGGGACCGAGAGGGGTGGCAGGCTCTCTGGCTTCTCGTGAGCACCTGAGGCGGTCAGGACTGGGGTCTCGGGGCCTTTCCTCTGGAAACCTGAGCCCAGCAGGGCCAGTTCTCCAGTCCTGGAGGTGGGGGCCTAGGCCAAGGGCAGGTGGGGCAGGACAACAGCTGGAGATCTGTAACTCAGGCCTAGGGGAGCCCCTCCAGAAACAGGAGGCCGATGCTCTGGGGGTGGCTGCAGGTCTCCTTAAGGCTGTTGGGGGGCAGGGAGACGGCCCAGCTAAAATCTCAGGGAAGCCCCTCCACCCTGGGTGCAGGTGGGAGGAGGGGGGCGGTTCCGGTGCCCGCCTGCTGGTCCTGACCGCCCCCCCTCCAGCCCTAGGCTGTGAGCGCGATCGCCTGTCCTTCGGTTTCTGCGAGACGCTGCGCCTGCTGGGCCGCTGCCAGCTGCCCACCGTCCGCACCCAGTGCTGCCGCTCCTGTCCCCCACCTGGGCGTGGTGCCCCCTCCCGCGGCCGTCAGCGGGTTGCCCGCCGCTGACCCACACCCCGGCCCCCCGCGGCCAGGATGCACAGCCAGACCGATGCACGGACCTCAGCACCCAGCAGGACCTCAGTGCCCAGCACGGGCTGCGGTGGAGCCCCGCCCCTCGCGCCCTAATGGTGCTAACCCGGCCCCCCGACAGTGGCAGGCTGGGGACCCTTCCCCCTCAGAAAAGGTATTTTTTTATTCTAACAGTTTGCCTAACATTTATTATTATTATTGTTATTGTTATACATAAACAGGCATCTGCCGTTTCGAAGTACAGCTTGGCTTTCTCTTGGATTGGGGGAATTTCAAGTCAGAAACTACACCTCTGCTGCGGCCGACAGCATCTTTCCATCTGCTCCTCTGGGAGGCCCACAGGGGAGAAGGGAAAAGAGCCCATGTGGGCAGGAAGGCCTGAGGGAGCAGAGCGGAGGAGGGCTTCCTAGAGGCGGTGTGTGCAGGGCTTCAGACGGCCGGGTAACAGGCGGCAGGAGCGTTTTCTGGGCACCAGGCGCAGCCTGGCAGAGGCCCAGGGGTGCTGGTCCCTACTCACAATCCTTCCACACCTCCACTTCACCAGGCCCCCCCCAGCCCTTTCCCCCATGTCCCCACTCTGTGGTCTTCACCAGAGACTTGGGTTTCACAGGGATTGAGCCACACGCCCTTAGAGGAGCGAGGCCCATCTGGTCACCAGCAGGGACTGCCCCCTGGAGTGAACCCCATGGACACATCCCCGGCCCCCTCTGCTTCATCTGTTAACTCTTAACTCTTTATCTGCACCAAAGGGGTGGAGGGAGGGGCAGTCTGGCCAGACACACCCTTCTCAGCCCCCACTTGTCCCTTTCTTTCATCTTCTCTGTACTCAGCGGTGGGGCTGGGCCGGTTGAGGCCAGGACGTATGGTGGCTTCTTCCTCACTGACAATCCCAGGCGCTGGGCTCTTGCTACGTTGACATGTGGTCCGGCTCCCCAGCACCTGCCACGCCAGCCCTTCCCTGCCTGCCACACTTAGTTCCATGGAGTCAGGCTGTGGTGAACACACCAGGGAGCAGATGCGCATGAGGTGCTTTGAAGGTGTCCCGGGCCCTGGTGAGGGGTGAGGAGGCCGGAGAAGGCTAGACACTGTCTCCAGGAAGTGACCTGTTGCAGGCACCAGCCCTTACCTCTCCTTATGAGCCTTGGACTGGACCGTTTTACAATCTGCTCACAAGTCCTACTCCTGGAAGGGGTTTATCCCTTTTCTCCAAATGGGGGACCACCACTCATTCTATTCTACGGTGTCTGCCGTTCACAGGCTGTGATGTGAATGGTGGTTCTGGAGCTCTGCGTGTGGTGGCTACTCACAGCTTGGGTGTGTGTGTTGGGGGCGGAGGGGGGATGAAAATCACTCCTCGGGGACTGAGACCAAGAAACGGTATCAGAGGCTGAAGCAGTCAGCAAGTGTCTGTCCCAGGGCTGGCCCCTCCAAGGGTCAGAAGGGTGCTGGAGTGCCCAGCTCTCCCATTTCCCATTCTCTGATCACACGTCACACCCTATTTAATCATCAACACACTCCATGGAGCTGGAGTGAGCACCCCATTTTCAGATGAGAAGCCCAAGGCTCTGAGAGGGAGGTGACTGGCACAGGGCATATGCCCTGACTACACAGGCCTCAAGCTCCCATCGTCTCCTGCTCTGAGCTCTGGGCCACCTCTAGCAGCTGACCCCTCTGACCAGGTAGGAAGATGGCCCGAGCAGGCCCCACGGTAGCTTTGCACAGAGAGCAGTCTGGGGCTTGCGTGAGTTCAAGCGTCACCGCACTGTCTGAGAGTGGAGGGGTGTCAGGCTTGCTTCCTGTCTGTCTGCAGCAGCCCGGCTGGCCAGAGGAGGCCCTGGAGACCCATGGTGTGAGTAATGTCTTCCTAGGGATTTGCACTGTCACAAGAGCAACCCCTTACAAGGGACAGGGAGCAGGGCCTCTACTTGTGGGCCCCTGACCCACACACTGAACGGGGGCTAGCACTCAGGTCCCAGTCACAGCTGTGCCACTGCTGTGTGCTGTGACCTCAGGAACCCCCAGCCTCACTGAATCCGTGTCCCAGGAGGATAGAGACTCAGCAGCCGGCTCTGTCTGGGAATCCTCACTGGAGCTCCCCCCCTCTCCCCCGCCACCATCACACTGTAGAAAGACATTTGGTCTTAATCATTCTCGTGTTTTTCCGATGATGGGGGGTGCGGGGAGTGGTGTCCCAGGTGGCAGCTGGGACTGAGCTGTCAGCCTAGGCAGGAGGCAAACAACCCATGACTCAGGCAGGGCACGTCACAGCTGGTGGAAGGAGGGGTGCTTGCCACCCTGTGGCTGGGGGTTGCTCCGGACACAGGGAACTCCAGCTCTTGGCTCTCGGCCAAACCCAGTGCCTCCAGCCCTCACCTGCAGCTTGGCCGTGGCTTCAAGGGCCTCCCAGGCATTCTGTGCCACCTGCCCAGAGCAAACCAAAGACGGGGATGCAGAAACACCCAGCTGGAAGGTGAAGAGCCCCCCCCCCCCCCCCCCCCCCATAAGCCCTGAGGCACCTTCGAGCCCTTGGGGCTGAGTCCCATCACAAGTGACTGTAACTGCATTTCAAACCAGAAGGTTATACAAATTAGTTGTTTATTTTGCCTCTTAGTATGACAATTCCAAAATTTAACTTGAAGATAAGTACAGAAGCTGCTGTGACATAAAAGGAAAGAGTCACTTGGCAACGCCCCGAGTCCTCCACTGCTGGCATCCAGCCTCCTGCCTGCAAGGATGGCCCCAGGCATGCCCAGCTGCCCAGAACACAGGCAGAAAGGCAACACCGTGCAAAGTGAGGAGTAGGGATTTGTGCAGTAATACATTTAGTTTAAAAAAAAAAAAAAAAAGGACTGGCTATTTGCCTAGAGTACTTCCTATATCAGTAGAATGTAGAAACCAGAATTGTTCCCAGCACTCAGCAGTCTTGGCTGCTGTCGGATAGCTGTCGGCATGACTGCAAGTAGCCCCGAGGCTACCTGGGGTAAGAAGTGGGCCCATGCATACATAAGGAGAAGTCAGTGATGGTCAAGGCTAGAGGCCAGAGATGGCACAGAGGTGCAGAGCGATTCCGGAGGCTCAGGTTTACATAAATACGCACAAAGGAGTCGTGCACGCAGAAGAACTTGTTATATAAAATAGATGTACATAATCTAGGAAACCTTGATAAAAATAGTCTACAAAAATATAAACTGTATTGAAAATATACAAAAGTATTAACAAATGTTCAACCCACACAAAACAGCTCACCAACGTGAAAGGTGGCAGTTCCCACCTGGTGTGATGAGCACGGCTCCCCTTGGCCATGGTGTGTGTGCCCGGGAAGCAGGCTGGAGGCCGCCCCACCCTAGGCTATCACCTGTCAGAAGGGCCCTCCCCATGGGACCAGCAGGGGAGGCACTGGAGGGTACAGAGCAGCTCTCTCCTCAACAGCACAAGGAGAGGGGAAGCGTTGGCTCAAAATAGTGGGACCAAACCCTACAGTTCTGGAGGAAGGAATCAGCTCCATCCCGTCCCCAGTCTGGAATCGGGCCAAGCATTCCCTCTCCCACCCTCTAGACACCTAGCGCTTTATTCCAGAGAGGAGAACCTCCTAGCAAGGGTTCCTGGTCCACTTCCCCCGCGATCTCTCTCTCTGCTCTCCCATGCCCACTGCCTGACCACTGATGCTGAGAGCCTGGAAATACTAACACGCCACCGCCGCTCAGGGCACGGCTGACACCGGCCACACACAGCTGGTCCCTGGGCCCAATTCAGGTGCTTTTAAGATGAGTCTTTTCAAGGCAGAACAGACAAAACAAGCATATTCCTAAAGGCAGCATTTTAGCCCACAGGACACAGCAGTTCCAGGGGGAAATCAGCTTGGAAACTGAAGTCTCAAGGAAGCTGGAGCTGACCTGTGGGGCCCCAACCCCATTCCTACTGCACCTCCTGGGCTGCTGGCCGCTGGGCTGACAGCAGGTGTGGGAGGTGGGGGCTGGGAGGCGGTCTCCAGCAGCCCCAGTGGTCCTGCGGGGGTCTGTGCAGAGTGGCGAGGCCGCAGCCCAACTCACAAGGCAACTTCCTGAAAACGGCAGGCCTCAAACAGCTGCTCCCAAAGACCAAAACGATGATAAAGTATGTTCTTGACACCCGAAAACAGACGAAGGCTTTTGGCAACATACAGAGGCCAGCTCCCTGTACACAGTGAGAAATCAAATTAACCAGCTTGACCAAAGAAAAGTTGAGCTTGGTCTAGTACGCTGAAACGCCATCCTAGCTGTGATACTGCTAGAAGGGTGACAGAAAAAAAAAAAAAAAAAGCTTATGAAAAAAGTGCTGCTTCAAACTACACTGCTTCAATAGTCTGTGTTTTGTATCAACTAAGGATTATTTCCAATTTTTTCCAGGTAGTGTAAAAAAATCCGTGTAAAATTTTCTTTCCTATTTGAGTGATACTGTCCAGGAAACACTGTCTCATATCTACACGTCAGGGATGGTCCACAGAGTGATTAAGCAAAAATAACCTTCCTTGCGGCAAAGCCTCTTTCCAGGCCTTCAGAACGGTAGTGCTCTAAGTCCCAGAATTACCTAGGCAGCCTCACATACTGGGAGCAATGGTGACCCCACAGGGGAGGCCAGCTGCTGAGAACAAGGATGCCCCCAAGTGGCAGTGGGGAGGGGACGCGTCTGGGAGGGCTCGCCAAAGCTTTGACCTCAAGTGAAGGCTTCCCAGCCCAGGCCCTGGCAGCCGACCTCCTGCCGTCCCAGCCAGACACACTGGCTGTTCCCGAGGAAGCCACAGTTCCCAGCTGCCCAACAGCATTCACTCTGCAGCTGCACCGTTGCCCTGCAAAGCACCCCCGGAAAAGCTCCCTCCATCCCCCCAACCAAGGGTGGGCCTGCCGTGTAGGACGATGATCCACAGTTTCCTTGGAATCCCATCCACACGGGTAGAATGAACCAAGGGTCAACTCTCAGATGGAAAGAAGAGGTTTGCACAGAGCCTCGTGGAGCCATGCGGACAGTGAGCGTGTGGTGTCTGGAGAGCCAGGCCCTCCCCCAGCAGGTTGGGAGTTACTATTTGAAAGGCTGTGCGTGGAAGGGCAAAAGCTATCCCAGAAATGGGGCACGGCCAGCACCCTGAAGCCACCAGCAGAAGGTCTGTGGGCTTTCTATAGGCCGTTTCTGAAAAAGGGATGTGCTTCCTTTCCTAAGGAAGTCCCTTTATTCACACCAACCTTATGCCACCCAAAGCAGTCAGACTCTGGCCCAGGAGTGTGTGAAGTGCAGTGGGCACCCTCCACAGCAACTGTTTAAAACATTGCCCACGACGTACAGGAGGTACCACGAGGGGAGATGGCCCACGTAAGGTTTTCTAAGCACAGAGTCACCAACAAAGCTGACAGATGCTGTAAATAGGCTCTTGAAAATTGCCAGCTATAAGCCTAGCGATGCACTGATCAGGCGGAAAGCATGACGGGATACGAGTAGCCACGTGCCATGGCATGAAGATGGCTGTAAACAGATTAGACCCCCACCCCGAGTGGAAATGAGAAAGTGCAGTGTGGCTTTGGACATCTGCCCAGCAGACTTCCAGAGACCACGGATGTTACATTCTGGCTTTGAAACGAGCAGAAACATCTCTGCAGTTCACCCTTTTGGCACACTTTGGTTGTGAAGGCAGGAAGAGCGGCGTCACGGGCTGGGAGTGGGTGGCACTCAGGAGTCCTCCTCCTCGTCGCTGACCAGCTCGCCCTTGTCAGGGCTGGTGTCCCGGTCACGCAGGAAGTCCTCCCGGATGGCCTCCAGCTCCGTCAGCTCCAGCCGGACCTTCTCCAAGTGGTAGGTGCGCCGGTTCCGGATCTGGCGCAGGGGGAATGGGTTCAGGTCCCCAAAGGAGATGCCGATCAGCTTCCTGGCAGGACACAGCACAGAGACAGAGCATCAGGGGGGCTCAGGCGAGAGCTCACACACAGCACTCATTTCAGCCCAGCCTGGAGGCCTGGGGGTGTGGGGAGGCGGACCCCGGACACCACGTTGAGGGCCTGATGTAGATATGTCACTCGGAGGCCAGCGCTCACGCAGAGGCTGCAGGGGCAGCCCCCGAACGCCGGCCTGGATCCAGACGCCAGCTCCACCACACGCTCCCCATGGGATGCAGAACAGGGAAAGTGAGCCCCCTTTCCAGCCCCCAATTCCTCATCTGTACATTCAGATAACAGCGGTGCTGCCTCCTGGGCATGGGGTTACTCAAGTTGCCGCCCGTGAGCACAAGGACGGGGTCTGGCACTTGCTCAGCGATGGTGGGGGCCACGTGCCTCTGAGTCCTCGGAACCAGCATGAGGCCTGGCGCAGGGTGCGCTCAGAAAGGCTCTGTCACTGGACGGACTGACGCGGCGTGAATGGATGCACGGATGCCCGAGCAAACCTGGGGATAACTGTCAGACTCAGTGGTGTGACAGGTGTCAAGACGCAGTCTACGGAGAGACGTGCAGTTTGTGGGTTTCGTACTATCCCCAGGTCAAGGCACCCATCTACAGTAAATACTTTAAAATCACGGTACCTTGCCCCTAACCACTGGCCAGCGGTTTAATAAAAACAGGACCAGCAGGTGCCCAAGGCCTGGCTAAGGGCTTCCAGCACTAATCACGGCAGCCACAGCCATCTGGTGTTGTCACAGAAGCCGGTTCCTCGCACACTAAGCCCCCGCCTCCCTTCTGCCGGCCCCAGCAGCAAGGATCTAAGGCCTGGTGCTCTTGCAGACCCGGGAGAGGCTGTGATGAAACAGCAGCGTCACAGGACTTCCTCCCCGCCTGTCAGAAAACAAACCGTTCGCTCCTTTCCGCTGCCCCATCACGTGGGGTGCTTTACTGTGACGTGTACATGCCCTTAGCATCCCTCCCTCTTACATACATTTTCAAATTTTATTTATTTATTTTGTTTATTTGGCTGCACCGGGTCTTAGCCGTGGCATGCGGGATCTAGTTCCCTGACCGGGGATCGAACCCGGGCCCCCTGCACTGGGAACACGGAGTCTTAGCCACTGGACCACCAGGGAAGTCCCTCCCTCTTATATTTTTAAACACTCACACCTTAGACATGCTTCACTCCAAGCCAGAGGATGCTCCTGCAAGGAGGTAAAGGGTCAGAAAGGCTGGCTTTAAGAGCCGAGCTCCCCAGAGCATGTTCTAGAACTCGTGAGCAGGAAAGGCCTACTCAGTGTGGGTCTCTGTGAAACAAAATGCTGGCTGGGGACTGGGAACCAGGCCTGCGTGACCAGCCCCTTTTCTCCAACAGCTATTAGTCACAGGCTCCATACACCTGAAATCCAAGTGTCCAGGCCCTTCCTTGCTACAGAAAGCACTGCATTGGATTGATACTGTCCGCTGCCTCCGTCAGGCAGCCACCATCAGCGCAGGCTGGGGCAGCACGGGGGACCGCACACCGCTCTGCCTCGGGCCTGGCAGGTGCGGTCGAGAGATGAGAAAGTGCCCCGTGTCAGCTACGTTCAGAAGACAACGCCTGGCGCGTGCGAGGCCCCGGAAGGTCCTGATTCAGAGACGGGTCTAATCTTGTTGCACCGCACCCCTGACCACATCTCACTCAGTCGCCTGCCTCCTCCTCGCAGAACCAATCAGGGCGCTGCAGGTCGACGCTCCTTGGAACCGCTAGTCTGGGGAGCTTATTAAAATACTGGGGCCCCAGTCCAGAGGTGGGGCCAGGGCATCTGCAGTCCTAACAACACCCACAGGTGATCCCGCCGCACAGGGAACTCTGGGTCCAGTGGACGCAGACTTCCTGCGGCAAACTGACAGGAAACTGCACGAAAGCCACTCACCAGGTGGCGCTGCAGGAGTGCGCAGGACGGACCGTATCCCAGCCAGGCCCACCACCCCTTGCGTCTCTGCCACCCGGCAGCACTGACAACCCACACAAAACTGTTAGGGGCTGAGCAGGATGCCCTCCACACGCATTAGCTGTTGGAGTGAAGTTCACTGAACGCCACTCTTGTCATCTTGACCCGATGTGAGATTAACAAACGCTCTCAAGGTTCACCCAGGGACTCAGCATCAATCTTTCACAGGCAAACATTATTCTTGGATATCCTATTATTGTTAATATAGCAATAAGCTTGAAAACATCTTAAAAATCTACTTCCCAAGTAAAAGATCCTAACGGTAGTGGTGATATCCAAGGAAGCCAGGTGTGGCCTCAGCCAGCACCTTCTCCCAGCGTCCACCTCCCTGGTCCCTTGGCCTCACTCAAGAGAACCACAGGGGAATGGTCCTCCTTGCCCCCTCTCCGGCCGCACATGCTCTCCTGCCACAAGACTCCGGCAGCCCCGGAGCCCTCAGCCCCTCCTGGCTGACCAGAGGCCTGGATGCTGCCCAACCACCTCTCCCTACCTCAGCCAAGGAGAGAAGCCCTCCCTCCCCGTCAGGTGAGCATATCATGGCGGGGGGTGGGGGGCGGGGAACTGGTGTTTGTCAAGTAGGTTGTCACCCATCAGTGGATCAAGGAATCGATTGAGTGAGTCATGACGAGCATTTTAAATATGCAATAAACAGTGTATTTAGAAAATATATCAGAGGGTACAGCACAGGTCTTTGGCCAGCGCTGGAAATATTTCAACAAATTCTTTTGTTTCAGTTACATACACTCCAGTACGTGTGTCCTAGGTTGTGAGATAAAATGTTCTTATTATGGGTGGCAGTCAACAGAGTTTGAAAAACATTAATAAGCTCCAAATGTTTCTCAGTCAAAGGACTCCTGTGGTTTTCAAGAGGCCACAAGTCTGCTGCAGGGATCCATTCCCGCGCAGTACGGGCAGCTCCCAGCACCTCGGCACAGCGAACGTTAGCGCTGCCTCCGTGGTTCGCAGGGACGTGCGCCCTCACTTGCCCAATCAGCAGCGGGTCCACAGAACTCCCCTGGAGAACCCAGCCTTGGTCATCGGGGCCAGAGCAGCTGCCAACTGTAGTTCAGGGGACAACGAGGGTGGCTCAGAACAGGCAAAAAGTGTGTGGCTGGGGAGCGAGGGGGTGAAGAGATTCCTGAACGTTCAGCTTCCCAGGCCAGAAAGCCAGGGGACTTGGAAGTTCAAATTCCTTCTCCACCCCCTTCAATCTGCCCCCTCTTTTCTGTCTCTGGGGGCACCTCGCTGCAGGCTACCACCTCTCTCGCCGGGACCCCCTGGGCTCCTGCTGTCAGTCCTGCTCCAACCTGACGTGCCCTTTTGGTGTCTAACCCTGCAGGGACTTCCCAACACTCAGGGCGAAGCACAAGGTCCTGGGCAGAGTCTACAAGGGCCTTAACAGCCCAGCTCTGCTCCCGCCCGGCCTCGATCCCTGCCGCGCCAGCCCCACCCTGGCCGAGCCACTGCGGCAGTTCCCCCAAACACGCCGCGCGCCCGCAGCCCTGCGAGCACACGGCTCCTGAGTCCCTCTGCCCGGGCTGCCCACTCCCCACCACCCCTGCCTGGCCCAGGTCACCCGGCCTTCCTCTGGCACTTGCCCCATCCCCGGGCTTCCTCCACCACAGCTCTGAGCAAACCAGGCCGTAACACTTCCCCACAAGTTCTTCAAGGACAGGGCCTGTTCCTCATCTACCATCCTCAATGCCTGGCAGAGGGCTTGCCGTGTGGTTGATACTCAGCAGGTGCTCACTAGACAAATAGTGTGCTTTGGCTGCGGGGATTCATGTTTGTTGAATAAAGGATAAAAGCATCTTTCATCTTAGTTCCTCCCTAGTCTCTGGAGGCCGCTCCTTTCCCCCTTTTCCCTGGGAGGAAGCGCCCTCTCTCACCACTGCACACCTGGGAAGGCTCTGGGTTTGAGACGGCCAGGACAGTCCGTTCTCAAGGAAGCAGAGGTCAGGATCCCTGCCCTCCTGGACGTCTGGGGATTCCCCCAAGGACTCACCTAGCGTCAAGGATAGTGCGAGTGAAGTAACGGAGATACTTGAATATGGACATTGAATCTTGCAATTTCAGGATCTCCTCTTCCTTGTATTTAAAAAGTGCCAGGGCAAAGCGGAAGATAACCTGTGGAAAGGACAGGGAAATCTATGAGTAGAGAAGCACCGTGGCTCCAGGTACCGGCTCCAGGGATGGAAGGCCTCCCTGGGCCCTGGGAGCAGCCTGCACGGCCTGCCCTGGGGCAGACACTTGACCTGAGGTGCAATTTCCACCAGTGCCTTTCTTAATAGCAAAAAGGTTTCAACTCTTTGGTGGTTTTCAGGAACACTTCAGCCCAAACCAAAAATTTCCTTAAGGAGTAGAATCTTTGTGGAATCCTTCCACATTTAGCTCACATTTCTAGTCAATAGGCTATATAGAACTAGAAATAATTTTTAAATTAAATCAAAACCAGGGTCCTCTGATTCTGAAACTCTTAGAAAGCTCCACCTCCAGAGGCAGTTTTTATCTCACCTACTGAAACTAGGGTCTGAATTTCTGACTTCTGAATATGGTGAAAGAAAATAAATTTTTCTTTTTTTTTTTTTTCTACTGATTTGTTTCTGGGTCACTGTGTTGACACCAGAGGGAATGGACTCCTGGTGGTCCTGCAAGTTCAAGCAGCTTTGGAACAAATTGCTTCGCCCACACGTAAGGGCACGGGCTGGCTTGCACCAACCTGAACTTTTTCTTATTTAGAAAACAATATTTACAGAGATTAAATAGATTATCTTTCTCTTAACATCCCTACCTGTGGCCCAATAGGGAACACTGTTTAAGCCCTGGTTGAGAATTCTTTTCAATAATGACAGGCTAGATTAAAAAGTTGATAATGTACTGTACTGGACAGAGTGTGAGGTAATATACACACTCAAACTTTGCCGGTGGGAGTAGAAATTGGTAAGGCCCTTCCGCAGGGCAGTTTGGCATTCTTGATGAGAACTACAGGGTCCTTTGGTTCTGGATTTACCCTGGACCTAGCCCTTCCACTTCTGGGACTAAACCTAAGGATGCACTTGCACCTACAGAAAGACAATTTTAAAGAGTCACGGCTGCAGAGTTTGACGTGGCAAAAGACTGCAAACAGCGTAAGTGTCCATCATCAGGGGACTGTTATGTAAATTTCTGGTTCCTCTGTACAAGGAGATACTAGGCAGAGTTTTAAAAAAAAAAAAAAAAGAGCCAGATCTATATGCCCCGATATGAAGCTATCGCCAATAAATAATAAATTAAAAAAACATATTTTAGATATACATAAAATACCTTGAAAAAAAGATACAGTACATTGAGAAGAACGGCTAGGAGACTGGGGATCTCTTTTCTACTGCACGCCCTTAGTTATATGATGTGAGTTTATCATGTGTTACTCACGAACTGATTTTTTTAAAACATAAAACAGATTGGGTGGGAGGCTTGTGGGCAGTAGGGCTCTGAAGTTGGCCCCCCGAGTCTGCCCCTGATCCTCTGTTTGCTCTGGGCCTCTACGTCCTCATCCATACAGTGGGGATAATACCGCCATCTGTTTGACAGAAGTTGAGACTCAGACTGCAAACCATCAAAGCCCCCATGCCTGGCACAGGGTTTGGCAGAGACTCAATGTTTCTGATAAACGAGCAAATGACTGCAGTTTCCTGCGACCCCAGACCAACCTCCAGCAGCACCTGGTGCTGGGATCACTCTGCCCCTCGGCACCCTTCATGCGTCCCAGCTAAGCCGGCCACTCTGCTGCCACTGCCACTGCCCATGGAGTCATGCAGCAAGCAGACCCACCTTTGGTCCCTCGTAAAGGAAAGAGTCCCATATTTTAAAGAGGATGTCACTAACGACGCTATCCACAAACACCACCAGAAACCAGTTGAACGTGATGAGGGTGTAGTCCACTTTGTACTGTTCAAAGTGGGCATGCAGTCGAGGCAGCTTCTCACTCATGAGGTCTCTGAACACCCGCTGGTCCACCTGGAGAGGGAGCAAAGGGGAGAAGCGTCTGGGGGCTGCCACTGCACTGAGCAGGCCACCCGGGGCCCCGGAGGGGCTGCAGGCCCATCGCCACACACAGCAGCGCAGCTGTTCCAAGTGCGTGGCGGGCTCACCCCAGAGCGGACTGCTCCGCACCCACGCTGGGGTGAGCCCGAGAAGCAGCTGGCCTTGCACACTGCAGGTGCTCGCCAAGTGCCCCCTGGCTGTCATCCTTTCCACAGGGTATGGGGGTGGGTTCTGTGGCCTGAAAGCCACTCCTGTACTCAAAATGCCCCATGAAAATGGGCTGCTGCAGAGCCGGTGGCGTAGTCGGTCTTGCTAATCCACGTGGAAATACAGGGGGTGCTGCTGCAAAGGGCCATATACCCGAGTCCCGGGCCAAAGAGGAAGTGTGATATCACCACATCCATTCAGCAAATATTTACTGGGCTGCGTGGGGCAGTGAGGGAGCAAGGACTCCAGAGTCAGCTGGACCTGAGTTTGGTTCTCAGCTCTACCACTTTCTAGCTGGGTGGCCTTGGGCAGATTATGTTCTAGACAGCTCTGTGCCTCATCTGGAAAACAGTTAATGATCTCTCTCTCCCAGGGCTACTGTGAAGATTACATGAGACTTAGGTAAACACATATCAAAATAGGTGGCTGTTACCCCTCCATGCTCTGTGTCAAGCAGGGGCCAGTGCTGGGCAGAGAGTTGAATCAGGTTCAGCCCTGACCTCTAGGAGCTAAAAGACGAGTGGGGAAGCCAGGTGTATGGACTGTTACGATAGCTGTGGCCACCAGGGCTTGGTAAAGATGTGTTTACAGAGCATTACAGAGCCCCGGACGGGTCCCAGCCAAGCCTGGAGGAGAACAGCCCTGCGGTGGGAGCACAGGATTCTGGGCAGAAGGGGTGGGAAGGACGCAGCTCAGCCTGGCAGAAGCACCAGGTCCCTGAGGGGCAGACCTCACCTACAGGCCAGGGGCTTTTCCAGCCTTTGTCTGTGACCCACAAGAAAATATACATCAGCCATCACCTAGTCTGTGTGCACAGAAGAGAAACAAACTCACAAACAATACTTAACCTCACAAAGTAGGACAGTTCTACTCTATTCAACTTAATTTGATGAAAAAAACAAAAAAAGCTAGTGCCAATCCCGATTACTCATGTTTGAAAAACGCAGCAGGCAATGAAGGAGGAGCGTCTCTTAAAGCCTCTTAGCTTTAAGCAGGAGAGTGATGTGGTTGGATTTGTACTTTAGATCCATCTCTCCACCTGAAACAGGGGGCCAAGCTGAAGGGGAAGCAAGGCCCCATGGAGACCCCACCACACCCGGGGCAGAGGTGATGAAAATCTGAACCAAGGAAAGGTGGTGGGAGGAGAGGGGCGCCTGGATCAGAACTGTGTAGACGTAAAGTCTGTATGAACCTACGGACCCCTCTGCTGTCAGAGGTCAGGAAGAGGGGTGCTCAGAATACACAGGCTTCCCACAGGGGCATGGAGAGGGCAGAGTGTGGTTCCCTGAGGCCGGATCATAGGAATGAGGGCTGGGCTGGGGGAGACTGGGACATGCTGGTGCCCGAGGGGCATCTGCAGCAGGATAACTGCAGCCCACCAGAGACCCGAGGCTGAGGCTCCAGGGCCTGGGTGGAGTGAGGTCACCTTAGGTGAGTGGTGAAACCGTGAGAAAGAAAGAGACCAGCAGAGGAAAGCAAGCCACAGATGCACAATGGGCCAAAGCCAGGCCGTCCAGGAACGAGAGCGCAGTGAGGAAGAGCCAGCTGCACGGGAAGTGTATCACCTCCTTAGCGTTCCCCGAATGGTACACTGTGAGGGGAGTGTGAACCGGTACAACCATTTAGGAGAGCAATCCGGCAACACCCAGGAAACAGGAAGCCTCACCCTACAGCAAGCCTACTCCTAGGAATGGATCCCAGAAAAACCTGCCAAACTTTCACCTGCATATCAGTCAAGATAAGATAGAAGATGTGATAATTCTTGGGATTACTGGGATACTAAAATAACTAAAAACAATCTAGATAAATGTTAAAATGACATTTTAAAATGTCCTTTTTTTAGGACAATCCAAAACTTTGAAAATATCAATTGTTTATCCTTTTGGGAAGGTTTGCTTTTCAAAAAAAATATAGAAGGCATTATAGTCAAAAATTTTTTTAAAAAAAAGAATGTTACATAGGTTCAAGTAGGTATCATTGGTTGAAATTTAAAATTTTAAAAGGCAAAGTAACTTAAAAAACTAAAAAACATTATTTTTTACAGAAATGATTCCAAAGCATTGTAAAGTCACCCTAGGGTGCACAGAGGATAAAATACAGGAATCATGGTTGGAAACATACATTTTTGTCCAGTTTGCTTTCTGGCTAGAAGAGACAAAATTTTGAAGATCTAAATTTGCTGAAATGAAATATAATTAAGTTTTCTTGGAAGACTTAAAAAAACAAAAGTATATAAGAAGTTATAGGACTTCCCTGGTGGCGCAGTGATTAAGAATCCACCTGCCAATGCAGGGGACACGGGTTCGATCCTTGGTCCAGGAAGATCCCACATGCCGCGGAGCAACTAAGCCTGTGCACCACAACTACTGAGCCTGCGCTCTAGAGCCCGTGAGCCACAACTACTGAGCCCGTGTGCCTAGAGCCTGTGCTCTGCAACAAGAGAAGCCACCACAGTGAGAAGCCCGCGCACTGCAACGAAGAGAAGCCCCCACTCGCCGAAACTAGAGAAAGCCCGCGTGCAGCAACGAAGACCCAGTGCAGCCAAAAATAATAAATTTATTTTTTTTTAAAGTTATAAAACCATCCCATAGTGTGCAAAAAGTATCAGTCTCTCACCTTCTCACCCACGTCCACTTCCCACCTCTGTAAAATTCTGATAGGTGGACCAACAGCTGAAAGGCAAGTTGTAAAAGCAATCCCACGCATGCATGTGCGGTAGCCACTCTGACAGGCCACTCCTGGACGTCTTCTTCGGTCAGCTTCCCTGGAGGCCCAGCTCCTCCCACTGGGCAGGGTCAGCATCACTCACTAGTGATGGGTCTTCTTTTCTGCTGGTGCTATTCCATCCCTCAACATTTAAACAACGACTACATATTTGCACACACTTCATGCTTAGCACTGGCCAGGGCTGGGGACAAGAGACAACAGGACAAGGTGCTACTTTTAAGGGGTTATAAACGGGCAAGGGACACAGACAGCTGACCATTGGACCAAGAGATGGCGATGTGATGCACTCTGCCCAGAGGGACTGGGCTGAAAGCGCCTGAGAGGAAGGGACCAGTCAGCTGGCCTTGAAATGGGAGAAGAACGAGGCACACACCTCTCCTCCCAGGTAGGTGGCAGATGGTGTCTTGTTCTCGAGGCTGCCGGGTGCTTGGCAGATGGCTGGCGTGGGGCAGGCTGCCAGGGACACTTGCTCGGGCCTCTGTTCAGCCCCTCTCAGCTCAAGAGGACGTGGAATGACTGTATTCATCTCTGTGTCCTCAGCGCCTAGCGAGGTCCTGGCGCACAATGTGCACTGAACTGACGGAGAAGCTGCTGAGCGTCTGGACTGCAGCGCAGCGTTAAGGGGCTCAGGCACTGGGCTCTGGCAGGAGGCAGCCGACAGCGATTCGCAAAGTACAGCGCTGGGGGCTGACTGCACACACAAAGCCATCCGCATTTTACGAGTGGCCTTATGCAACGTCCATCATAGGAGAATGGTTAAATACCTCAAGTCCATTCACCCAATGGAATATTACAGCCACCAAATATGATGGTTAAAAACTATATAACTGTATGAGAAAATGCTCATGCTGTCATGTGAACCAACCAGGATAATCAGTCTCTCAATTTGGATACCTAAACGTATTGGGAAAAAGTAAAAAGTAAATATATCAAAATGCTAACTGTGATTCTCAAGCTGGTAGGATAACAGGTGATTTTTCATTTTCTTAATATATATTTCTGTATTGCCTAACTTCTGACAGCATCTATTACTTTTAAAGTCAGGGGGAGGGACTTCCCTGGTGGCGCAGTGGTTGAGAGTCTGCCTGCCGATGCAGGGGACACGGGTTCGTGCCCCGGTCTGGGAAGATCCCACATGCCGCGGAGCAGCTAGGTCCGTGAGCCAGGGCCGCTGAGCCTGCGCGTCCGGAGCCTGTGCTCCGCAACGGGAGAGGCCACAACAGTGAGAGGCCTGCGTACCGCAAAAAAAAAAGAATCCACCTGCCAATGCAGGGGACACGGGGTCGATCCCTGGTCTGGGAAGACCCCACATGCCACGGAGCAACGAAGCCTGTGCGCCACAACTACTGAGCCTGCGCTGTACAGCCCGCAAGCCACAACTACTGAAGCCCACATGCCACAACTACTGAAGCCCGTGCACCTAGAGCCTGTGCTCCACAACAAGAGAAGCCACCGCAACACGAAGCCCTCGCACCACCACCAAGAGTAGCCCCCGCTCGTCACAAGTAGAGAAAGCCCACACACAGCAACGAAGACCCAATGCAACCAAAAATTTTTTTAAAAACCCTTAAAGTCGGGGAAAATGTCTCTTTAGAGTTTACATTTATGTTGATGTGACAATGTGAGGCAAATTTTATCTTAAGTTCACATACTTAAAATAGGTCTTCCCCTTCTGCCTGTAATAACACTATTAATAATAATTTTATTGAGTTTTTACAGTGTTCCAATCATATTGAACTCTTTTAATGCGTCATCTGAATTCAACCTCAGACACTCTATAAGAGGAGAATATGACACTCATCTTACAGACAGGGAAACCGAGGCACAGAGATGTTAAGTGATGTGGCCAAGCTCCACAGCTCCAGGACAGGGCCTGTCTTCCAACCCGGCCATGTAACCCCGAGCCAAGCACACTGAGCACACCGAGCACTGATGTGCTCAACCACACACCTCAGTGGGACTAAGAAAGATCAGTGCTTCATTCTTCTCATTCAGAAACACTGAGTCATCTGAAATTTTTTTTTTTTGCGGTACACGGGCCTCTCACTGTTGTGGCCTCTCCCGTTGCGGAGCACAGGCTCCGGACGCGCAGCCTCAGTGGCCGTGGCTCGTGGGCCCAGCTGCTCCGCGGCACGTGGGATCCTCCCGGACCGGGGCACGAACCCGTGTCCCCTGCATCGGCAGGTGGACTCTCAACCACTGTGCCACCAGGGAAGCCCCCATTTGAAATTTTGAAGCTACTAGCTTCCAGGTGTCCATGAACATATAAAACTTTCTTTACTGACCTCTTTATTCGCACCTGACTGTGCCAGCTGCCTCTTCCCGCTGCTGTTCATTTCCTACTACTTTACCCACTACCTTAACAAAAACGAATCTCTAGTTTAATTAGCAAAGTGAAGCGATCACAGGGAGACCAGATGGGCTTCTCCAGGTGACATCCATGTAGCTGGGACAGGAACCCAAAGGAAAGCCCGCTCTGTAGGAAGGGCAAAGCTCACCCTCCTGCCGTCCTCCCACAGCACTCCAAGAGGCAGTGGCAGGGCAGGGGGAGAGCTTGGGCCCAGAGCCACAGATGTCTGAGGCCAAACCCCAGCTTGGGCTCTCTGTGGTGGCACCTCAGGCAAGATGCTTAGTGGATTTGATCCTCAGTTTTCTCCCAAGTAAAATGGGGATAACCATACCTCCACTCACATGGCTTTGTGCAGCTGTGTGGCTGCTAGCAACGGGCTGGGGCTCCCTTTCCCTGGGCAAAGAGCTCACGTGAATTCAGACACTCACTTCTGGGTGCGAGAGACACTAAAATGAAAGACAGGGCTGCAGCCCTTAAGCTGGAAGACAAGCAAGCACGCAGGACGACCCAGGATGATAACCACTGTCACCGAGGCCTGGGCCAGAGCAGTGGGAACGGGAGCGGGCCCTGAAGTCAGCTTTGGGAAGGCGGGAAAGTATCACAGAGGAAGGGGCACATGAGCTCAGGCTGAGCAGCAGCTTTCTAGGGAGGTAAGCGGGGCAATGCCGTCTAGGTAGTGGAACTGTGTACAAAAGTACACAGAGAATGGCGTACCACCAGAGGACAAGGGCTCCGTCACAGGGCATGCTGCGCTCCCAGCAGCCCAGCAAATGGGCAGGTCAGGGTGTGGAAGGAGGCTGGGCTCGGCCGGGAGGGGGGGGGGGGGGGGGGGGGGTGGTGAGGACGTGGCTGAATCTGTGAGTGAGGCGGACAGAAGGGCTGCGTGAGTGAAGGCAGGAAGAGAGGAGATGAGGCAACTGCAGTGATGCAGGAGAGGGGATGGTGACCTAACAGTGAGGAGCGAATGAGAGAACCGATCTGAGAGCCGCCAGGCGGTGGCAGTGATCAGAAACAGCAACCCCAGGGACACAGAGAGAGAGGAAGGAGTGGTGCAGGCTGACTCGAGTTCCTGGCCTGGGGAACTAGCGGGTGAGGGGGCAGTACAGGTGGTAACAGAGGGCAGCAATGAGGATCCCTCCAGAGGCAGAAATACAAATAGAAAGTAAAATTCAGGGCTCAACTAGGCAAACAGAAGCCACGCTAAACATTTATAACAGGGATTTACCCAGGGCAACAGTCACACTGGTGACGGAAAAGCTGAGAAACCAAACAGTTGATAGTGAGGCAGTCCAGAGGCCAGGGCAGGAAGCCACCCCCAGGCTGGAGCAGGGAGGTCCCCGCTGGCATGAAGAACCCGCCAGACAGGAGCTGGCACCACGGAGGAGACAGTCACCGGCAGAGGCAGTACCCAGGACGGAGAGGGAGAAAACTGCCTTCAGCTGCCGCACCCCCCTCCGCTGGCCGACACAGGAGCTGGAAGACAGCCTGCGGGCCAGCTGTCCGGACAGGAGTAGAGCAGTGAGGGCAAGGAGTGGCTGTGAGCAGGCAGGCCAAGCACTGGCACGAGCCTGGAGGAGAGGATGCAACGAGGGCACACACGGGCACAGCTGCGGTCAAGAGAAAAAAGGCTCTTGGGCAGGACTGGACCAAATGTCAGACACAGGAGGAGGGCTGCCAGTGGGGAAGCAGGGAAAGGCCATTACAGAAGCCAGTCACGGCAGCACCCCCAGCCCAGCAGAGGGAAGAGATGCCCTGGGCTGCAACGGCCAAGGGTCTGGTCCAGAATCAGGACTGTCCCAAGTGGAGACAGAACCCCCGGACTCTCCCAGCCCACATCATCCTACCCGCCCCCTGGCTTCAGACTCCAGGCGTGGTGGGCATGAACTGTGCTTGTTTAGATCCCCTGCTGTGGGCAGTACTGACAGCCCCCGCGCTGCCCCTCTGGATCCATCACCACATTTGTTTACAGAAGCCATGTCGCCCCCGCTGCTTCCAGCCAGTGAGTGAGCAGGGAGGGCGCTAAAGCAGCCCGTTCCCACTGAGATGTGTGCACCTTTAACAGGTGACGTTGGCTTGAGGACGCCACACGGGCCTGGCCAAAACTTTCTCAGAACCTCACAGTAGGCTGGGATTTTTCCCACCTACCCAAACCTCCTTCCTTCCCCTGGTCTGGGGGTTCACGGGGCCTTTCCCAGTCCCTCCCCTAGATCCTTCACAGGTCTTTTTCCTCAGAATCTCTGGCACATCTGCTTCTGCCTTGGTCTCCACTTCTTGGAGAACCCAAGCTAACACACCAAGCTCCCCAGGCACCCCTGGATTGTGACTTAGCTGGCCAGGCAGGCTGAGCCCAGAGTAGACAGTGCTGAGCACTGACCACAGAGCAGGTCTGCAGGCCTGGTCTGTTTCTCTCTGGATGTAGCAATCACTCTGCTGGCTTCCAGGGCACTAAGTGAGCCTGACCTGGCACCTGCTCACAAGCAGCCCAGCCCAGTCTCCAGGGCAGGCCCAGCCTCGGTGTGCACCTTGTTCAGGGGTCCACACACATGGAGCCTCCCCCACCAAGGCTTAATTCAGGTCACATTTCAGCTCTAATTCTACAGGTTTTTGACTAGAAGCACAATATTTTTAGAAGTACCTGGGATCCTAAAAGAGTCTTTGTGTAATAGTCTCGAGGCATGAAAACTTCCACTATGGTGACTAGACACCAGAAAGCGTCTTCTTGTTCCAAGTATAGGAGGGCCACTGCCACCAATCTACAAGCAAACGGAGAACAAGGTGAGCGCCAGCCTCCTAGCCCAGACCCGGGCAGCACGGCCCGTCTTCACAGAGGCCTCTGCAGTATGCTGCACTCTCTCACGGCCACAGCAACTTCTAGTTCTCCAAGAAAGTACACTAAACGAGTGTTCCTTGGCGAGGGTGGCATTTCCTAGTTTGAGAAGCAAAGCTACATCCACATTCCTTCATTTGGTTTTTGTTTAAAGATGATGAAATTGTTTCCCAATGAGCAGGCAGCCTCATTTTTTAAAATGTTTTCATGATAAGATTTTTGCTAATGCAGCTAATTCTTCGAGTTTTTTGTTCAAGAAGTTCCAACTAATCCTTTTATGCACAAAAAATCCAGGGGTGAATATAAGGGGAAAAGAACACATAATGGTTTAAAAACAACTTTCTTGATACCAGTCTACTTGAAACGGGGCTTCAGACAAATGAATCACTGTGGTGGGGCTTTCTCAAAGAACTGCATCCACAGCACACACGTGGGGTGGGAAAGGGGACCGTATGTATCACCTGTTACGTCACTCACAATGGAAACTTGGGTCTGGCTAGTTACATGGTCACCACTGAGAGGTTACTCATCCAGTAACCCCAGGTTTGGCTCTGAGCGGGCATTCAGGGCAGGAGGCTGAAAAGGAAGAGGCAAGAGAAAAGCCCCCCTCTACATATCCAAGAAGCTCTGCTCGCGACATGAAGCTTCTGTGCATCACTTACGGAAAACCCTAGAGTCACTTCTCAGAATCTGTTTTTGTTTTCTTCCTTGGATAAAATTGTAATGAAATCTCAAAAGGTTAAAAAAAAAAAAAGAACTGGGAAGGGGATGCCTTGAGTAGGCATGAATGAGATGAAGAGTAGAAGGGTTACAACAGGTAGAGATGGACAGGGAGAGAAAACCAGGACATGCACAGCACCTGCGGACGCCAGGAGAAAGGGTAGAGAGACTGAAAAGAGCAGAGCCTTTGACGACATCACTTTTAGTTAACTGATGTTCCAGATGACAGGCCTGAATCACTGAGGAAAGGCTAGCACTCTTCTGCTGAAGTTCTGGGTTCACAGTTCTGTTCTCATGTACAAAATAATGTGGAGAAAAAAAGTCCAGTAAAACGGTTAAACTTTAGAGGTCCTAATGGTGATGGTACGGAGAAAGATTTAATTTTCCGGGAAGTCTCCTTATGTGTGGAACAGCTGATTCCATGACAATGTCAGATAAATGGGGTGTTACTGCACCCCTAACAGGCAAGCTCGAGTCCTCGCCAAGATCCCTTAAGTTTCGGAGGTTTTTAGCTTCCAGGAATTTTTAGACTGAGTATACAATGTGAACTGTGCATTTAAGCAAAACAAGGCTGCTTTGTTAGGCAATAACTTATTTACAGGCTTTTTTTTTTTTAAATGGGGACCATCGAGGAGCAGCCACAGTCCCTTTTACTTTCAGGGCCCAGAGGGGGCGCCCTGTCCTGACCACCACAGAGGCAATGACTTCCTGGAAACCATTGGTTTCAGGTCTTAACCAACTAACATTCCAGTTTACAAGCTTTTCTTCCTGCAATACTCTCATTTCAGATGCAAATAGACAGCCCTTATCTGGAGGTCAGTATCCAGCACAGATGAGGATTAACAAGGCCCATGAGCTGCCAGAATAAACGTCAGCATTCAAAACTCAATGCATGCACTTGACTTAAGGAGAACTGCTAAAGATGGCACACGGAGCTTCTTCATTCTTTGTCCATATTTCTAGCAAGCTCGGTTACCTACTTTGATTACACAGAGGAATACAAAAGGACTCTAATGACAGCAGCAGAAGTGCACCAGCGAGGTAAGAGACAGACAGGAGGTAAAAAGCAGCCACAAGCACTCAAAGTCCAGTGATGGGGAGCAGCTCCGTGGAGAACAGACCTCAGTACCTCCCGTGGCCTCATGCTGGTGCAGCTCAGCTCAGAATGAGGAGCCTGGATCATTTAGAGAAGAGGAGAGGCTTTTCAGCGTCCTCTGCCTATGGAAGCAGGGAAGTATGCCAGACCTGCAGAAGGCTCTCATCTAAAAAAAAAACAAGTTTGGGCTCTTCAAGGGCTAGGTTTAACCAGCTGAAAAATTGTTTGGGGCAACCTCTTGATTGACAAAGGTCCTGTACAAACAAAGAGTGGCCTTGTTTTCACATCAAGCATTATAAATGAATGGCAGCAAACTTCTGATCAAAACCTGAGTGTGATGAGAGCAACAAGGAATCGAAATGATTTCTCATCTTGTCGTTCCAAATAGGCTGACTTTGGTGTTCTTAATATTGGATTGGCCAAAAAGGTCATTCAGAAAACCCGAACGAACTTTCTGGCCAACCCAATACTTTCCAAAAGCATGCCTGTCTCTCTCAATGATTCTAGAACTGGGGACACTGCATGCCTGTCTCTCTCAATGATTCTAGAACTGGGGACACTGCATAAAACGAGCTTACTGCAGCTACTGATATGTATTTCCCTTAAAAGACTGGTTTTTCTTGGCTCACCAGGAGGGGAGGGGGCCGTCAGGCAGCGCCTGGAGCTACAAGTTATCTTAACAGCAGAGAGGAGACCTCGTGGGCCAGGCACCCACCTGTTTAGACCTTGGCAGTAGCCAATGTCTGGATTCCGCCAGGAGAAGGCGAGCAGGACGTTGCGCAGCTTCTGTATGCCTTCCGAGGTGGGGCACGAGTAATGTTTGTTGTTGGGCAGAGTCCGCAGCAGGTCCAGCTCGATCTGCTTGGAGGCCGGGTTCTGTTTCTCCAGAGCCTTCTGAAGCAAGGTCTGGAAGTAACCAGGCTTAATGCTGTCCTTGAATTTCCTGGTGTGAAGGTCCACACACCACTTCCACACCTTGGAACGGTGCTCATGTGGAATGCCCGCACGGATCAGGTTCTTTAATTCTGGAGAGCACATCATCTCCCTGTTCACTGTGCTCGCAAAATAGTTTTCCCACTTGACGCCAGTGGAAACCTCCTGGTTTTCTGTGAGGTAGAGAGTCTTCAGGTCCAATGCTCGGACTTTGGCAACCAACTTCTCTTCCTCGTCATCCTCTGGGACAGTCCTAAACCCATAAATGTCATATTCACTGTTGAGAAAAACAAAAGGAAAAATTAAATGATGCAATGTGGCAAAAAGGCCAATGAAACAGAAAAGAGAACCTAGAAATCTACCCGTGTGTAAATGGCACTTTGATATATGACCGGGCATTTCAACTCAGTGAGGAAATAATAAACTTCTCAATAAACAGGGTGAGAATAACTGGCTACCTATATGGGAAAAAATTACGTTAGATCTTTCCTTGATACTATACAGGAAAATAATCAATTCTAGATGGCTGAGGTGCTAAATGTGAAAAGCACAAAAGAAAATACAAGCAATACTGCAAATACAAGGCTGATGAATTTGGCTACATTAATATACATGTGCATGTATGTTTATATAGCCTACATATACACATCCCTAACACTTATGCTCGAAAAATGTTTTAAAAAGTGAAAAGACAAGGGAGAAAACATTTGTAAGACATTAGGGATGACAAAGAATTAAGAATTCTTTAATTCTTAAAAAGAAAAAGAATTATTCTGCTGTGGTAGGTAGAATAATGGCCCCCCAAAATGTCCCTGGAACCTGTGAATATGTCACGTTACGGCATGTGGAATTACAGTTACAGAACTTAAGACGGGGAGATTATCCTGGGTTAGCCGGGTGGGACCACAGTAAACACAGGAGCCCTTAAAGTGGAAGAGGAAGGTAGAAGAGTGGACCAGAGATACGACAAAGGAAGAAGAGGCAGTAAGGATGTGAAGTGGGAGAGAGGGCCTAGACCCACGGTTGCTGACTTTGAAGGTGGAAGAAGGCGGCCACAAGCCAAGGAATGCAGGTGGCCTCCAGAAGCTGGGAATGGCCACACCTGACAGGCAGCAAGGAAACAGAGACCTAGTCCTACGACCAGAAGGAACTGTATTCTGCCAACATCTTGAATAAGAAAGGACACAAACTGTCTCCTAGAACCTCCAGAAAGGAACGCAGCACTGCTAATACCCTGACTTTCATCCCGCGAGACCATGCTGGGCTGCTTGATCGACAGAACTGTTGCATAATAAATAGGTATCACAAACTTATTGGCTTAAAACAATAATTTGTTATGGCAGTCATAGAAAACCAATACAAAGGCCTTTCACACACTGCTGCTGAGTGTGTAAACCTGTACAAGCACTTTGGAAGTCAGATCTAGCAGAGCTGAAGATGTGCATTCCCTATAGGTCAGGAATTCCACTTCTAGCCTACACCCTGGAGAAACTCTCTCACGCAGACACACGGACACATGGATACGTGTACCACGATGTTTACTGCACCACGGTTTGTAACAAGGAAAAATGGAACCATTCTGAGTGTTCACCATGAGAGAAGAAATAAAAATGTGAAGCTGTGAGGCAGGTAAAAAAAAATTCTCAGGAGCTACACGTATCAACCTGTATAATTTCAGAAAACAATGTTGAAAGAAGTAAGTTGCAAAAAGGTATGAATACGGTAGGATTAGCATATTAAAACGTGTCTTCAATTAGAGGTACATATTGAAGTGTTTAAAGCTGAAATGACACGTCTGATACTTTCTTTAAAATATTCCAGGAAAAAAAAAAAGAAGAAGAAACAGGATTACCAAAATGTTAATAATTGCTAAATTATTGGGTAACAGGTTGCATATGGGGGTTGTCATATGATTCCGTCTACTACTTTGTATGTTTGAAATTTTCCATAATGAAAAGTTGAAAGTAAATCAATATACACAGCTATTGTTCTAGTCATACATGAAGTTTGAAAAGATACAACATGAATAGTAAGAGCCTAAAACACAAGCAGGAAGAAGACGTGGTGCCCTCAGGGCAGACTGCTAGGCCACCCTCACGGGAGTCCCCCGCCACTGCGGACGCAGCACAAGCACACAGCATGGAGACAGCGCTCCTGGCCTGGGAATGGGGCTGCCCAGTCTGGGGCCACATCCTTGCCACTCACCATCTGTGTGACCTGGGCAAGTTACATCACCTCCCTAACGTCAGCTTCCACATTTTCTGAGCAAGGATAAAAACATCTGCCTGGCTGAGCTACGTTAAATACAAGCCTGCACATAAGGCCCTTGGCACGGCTCCCGGCACACAGGCCTCCGTAAGAGTTTTGTAACAATGGCGTTGGTCGCAATCTGAAAGCACAGTTTTACCTGTCGACTGAGTAACATGGACAAGGCAGGCCAGTGCTGTAAGCACAGAGAAGGGAAAGAGTGGGTCAAGCTGAAGCCAGGCTTCCCCTGGGGCAGGGGTGGGGCTGGAGAAGCTGAGCCACAGCAGCAAGCAGGGCCTAGGCACAGGGCTGCTAGAGGGGCAAGGGGGCGGAGACAGGAGGAGACTGGACTGAGTGGATTTGCAGATTTCTCCTTGAGCCAGTATTTCATGAATCTCAGTTTTAAGAAACTAGGATATGACGGTTCTTAATCCAAGATCCATCACAGGCTTCCACACTCCATGATTTTCTGAAAAGTATATGCAATACTGTGTGTGTGTCCAACTGCATTTTGGGGCCAAGGGTGTCCACGGCTTGTATCAGACCCTCAATGAGTTCTGAACCACTGAATCAGGTTACCCAAGTGTCCTTCCCTTACAGAGAAGACCCAATTTTCCACTTAGGGTCCCCCTTGGCTTTCAAACTACCCATGGGTCCAGCCATGTCTCTGGAGAGGGTTCTACTCCTAGGAAGACGGGCTCCTCTTGCAGCAGGACTGGCTACCACCCACGTTGGCATGGTACATGGCAGAAAGGTCTTGGAATGAAAACTTAGGCTGAACCCCAGCTCTGTTACTTGATTATTACAGCAAGACTGATGACATTATCTGTTCTAATGACTGGACGGTCCTTGTCATGAGCATCAAACGAGAACACGGAGAATTGTGTAGGGTTCTCAATGAATGGCTACTGCTGTTGAAAGAGGGGCTTGAGAAATGGGTCCCACTATCCCCAACAGTCGCTAGCACCTTTACCTGACGAGATGAGGTTTAACGAATGCTTGCTCCGGATGCTCCGGGCTCTCAACCTGCAGAGCATCCTCCAGCAGCTGGGCTATGACATCCCGAGAAGGCCCCTGTTCTTCTGAGCAAACTGGTGTCTTCATTTCTTGGAGCAGTATCAAGTATTTGCTTTCTATCTGGCAGAGCTTGGCTTCCAGGCTAGAATACTACAGAGAATGTGGTAGTTACCTCCAATCAGACAGAGACACAGGAAGAGCAATCCTTAAGTACCTCAAGCAGTCAAAGAATGACAAGCCAAGAACCACTAGCAAGTGAGCCAGAGAGAGACTGTATCAAAGACAAGAGATGGGGCTTCCCTGGTGGCGCAGTGGTTGAGAGTCTGCCTGCCGATGCAGGGGACACAGGTTCGTGCCCCGGTCCGGGAAGATCCCACATGCTGCGGAGCGGCTGGGCCCGTGAGCCATGGCCGCTGAGCCTGCGCGTCCGGAGCCTGTGCTCCGCAACGGGAGAGGCCACGACAGTGAGAGGCCCGTGTACCGCAAAAAAAAAAAAAAGACAAGAGATGAATTTACGCCACAGGCCACCTGTCTTATTTAAATGGCCCACATGGGCCCCGTCTTCCTTCTGAGGGGGTATGACACAGAAGTCCTGGTAATAAGGCCTCTGCGTGTCAACACACGTATCAGTTCTGGACAGGGCTGAGGTGAGCAGCAGAAACCAGGCCACACACCCATTACCGAGGTCAAGCTGAGTGCCACTTGGACACGAGCCCCAAGCAGCCGTCCCATGCAACAGCAATACTTTCCTAGGACGCTGTGACCCAGAACTAGCTCTCATCTGCTACCTTACCAGACACATCAATACACCCCCGGAAAACATCAGGAACAAGGCTTGGGAAGGTGTTCTGAGGACTGCTCAAAAGGTATACGAGGCACACAACAGCTGCTGACACAGTGTCTCTGAGCTTCATTTGATTGTAACTGGGAAGCCTGGGATGTCTCTACACCCTGCAAAGCCCTTTCCCGCCACAGTCACATCTAACTCTCAAGCCAACCCTATCAGGTTCACAGAGGGGGCATCACCCTCACCATCCCCATTTACAGATAAGAAACTGATTCACACAACTCAGTAGCATAAATCAAGATCCAAATAACCTTAATTTGGGGGAACCTTAGAATTGTATTTAATGTTTTTTCTGTAAACTTCATTATATGTGTGAATAAAAGCCACCTCTCAGGACATTTCTATTTGTCTTCATCATGAAGTGAAACTAAACACAGTGCTATGCACTTTATATACTTTAAATATAATTTGGTATCAATAACCACACCCTCCAAGCATGTGGGTTGAACTGATTTTAAAGCATGTCCATTTTTAAATGGTTTCTGAATCATACCTCCCACCAGATAATAGAATATAACCATCCTGACCCACCTTTGCCATCAGATCCCTCTCTCTTCTTTCTGCATTTCTCCGTAGAGCTGAGAGTTCCAAGATTTCCTTATTCAGAAATTTATTTTGCGTTTTGTACCCCTGTAGATTATCCTGTTGCAAAAAACAAGGTCCATCAATTCACATTGGTTGAACGTTGATTAATTATTCTATATCAGCGGTCCCCAACCTTTTCGGCACCAGGGACCAGTTTCATGGAGGACAATTTTTCCACAGACCGGGGGGTGGGGGGATGGCTTTGGGACAATTCAAACGCTTTTCATTTATTCTGTACTTTATTTCTATTATTATCACATTGCAATATATAATGAAATAATTACACAACTCACCATAATGCTGACAGGAGGTGCAGCTCAGGCGGTAATGCGAGCGATGGGGAACAGCTATAAATACAGATGAAGCTTCACTCGCTCGCCCACTGCTCACCTCCTGCTGTGCGGCCTGGTTCCTAACAGGCCATGGACCGATACCACTCCGTGGCCCAGGGGCTGGGGACCCCTGTTCAATATAAGTAATATTTTGCTGCCTCATCAATCAAATAGCCCTGCTAAGTTAGAACAAGTTCTAAGGAAATGAAAGCTGATTACTAGACCCTTTCTGATTAAACTTTGCGGCTACCCTTGGCAGTAGAAGGTAGGCAGGGACTACTGCTGTAATGAAGGAGATGGGGAAATAAATTTATTTAATGGTGGAGATTTTTCTCACCTGTCCTTAGGAAAAGTAAGTAGGACTTATGTCCTAAATCTATGCAAATATTTTATCTACCCACATTCATTGGGTACAAAAGGTAATGCCCTACATTCATTTTGTTTTTTAACTAGAGAAACTGAACAAATTTTCTGTAGATTCTCATTTTTACGTATCCAGTTTATGTGGAAGAGGCTACACACATACACAAAGCCCTTACCTAAAGAATTACACTTAATAATGAATACTTATAACCTACAATGTACAAGGCACCTAAGAGAACATGTTCCTCAACTTTTTTACATTAAAAAATTTCAAACTTATGAAAACGTTGAAAGAAAAGTACAATAAACACAATATACCCTTCACCTAAATTTGCCAATTGTTAACTTTTGCCACATTTACTTTCTGTTTTTAAGAGAACATCACGAGCTGGTGACACGCTCTGCCAAGTCCAACTAAAAGTTCAGCCCTGGCAGAAGCGGGTGCCATACGTGACCTTCAGCCCTTGACACTCTGAGCAAGGCAAGCGAAAGAGAACCTTTGAGACAACTGGGGCAGTGATTTCTAAATGCTCCCTACCAAATTCAGTCTTTTACAAATGTCTTTTTCCCCTACTCTGTTTGAAGTTTTCAAGGAATTTTTGATCCCTCAATCACAGGAGAAACTGTTCACAACAGCTCTAAGAGAAGGCCAGGGGTGGTCAAGAAAGGCACTGACACCTGTGCTGTCCCAGGACAGAGACCATGGCCCCTCCCCAGAGATGTGTCCAGAGACATGCCCCAATCTCCAAACTAGAAGCCACCATGGCGGTACACAATCTCCCCTGAAAATACAGAAGAACTGAAAATGTTCCAACAGTCCCTTTAATCGCTGACACCTACGGAGCACTTGCTACGGGTTACAGGTGCCCTGTGGTCCTCGATCCTATTTAAACCTCACAACTCTTCAGCAGCCACTCTCGTCATCTCCACCTCCTAGGTGAAGAGCTGAGCCATAGGGAGGCTGCACAACTACTAAGTGTCGGGCTGGGAGCCAGGCCTGCTGCGCTCTTGGCCCAGGTGCTTGGCCCCTGACGCCCACCTGAGCTCTGATACGCATCACAACTTCTCAGTCTCAGCAAAACCGCACGTCATGACAAGCACTGAAGACAGTCAAACCCCAAAGGAGGTCCACAGACTTCCTTTTCTGATCAGAATCATGATGTTCTCCTTTCTCCTGGCATCTTGAAGCTCTCATATTTGGAAACAATGAACAAACATGTTACTAAAAGGCAGGCTGATTGAAGGAAGGTGAGCTAGAGGGCAACAAAAGAATACACTGGGCCATGACGGCCAGAGACTGAGCAGCACAAGCTGGGTCGAGGGAGCAGGACACCACAGTGTGCCATCTGTGTCTTTGAGTCAAACTTTGCATTACAGTCTAAGGAAGTCCTGATAATGTATCTCAAGGATTCTTTCTCTAAAAAGGGAACCCTCTTGCGCTGTTGGTGGGAATGTAAATTGATACAGCCACTATGGAGAACAGTATGGAGGTTCCTTAAAAAACGAAAAATAGAATTACCATATGACCCAGCAATCCCACTACTGGGCATATACCCTGAGAAAACCATAATTCAAAAAGACACGTGCACCCCAATGTTCATTGCAGCACTGTTTACAATAGCCAGGTTATGGAAGCAACATAAATGCCCATCGACAGACAAATGGATAAAGAAGTTGGCACATATTTATACTATGGAATATGGCTCAGCCATAAAAAGGAACGAAATTGAGTCATTTGTTGAGACGTGGATGGATCTAGAGACTGTCATACAGAGTGAAGTAAGTCAGAAAGAGAAGAAGAAATATCATATATTAACGCATGTATGTGGAGCCTAGAAGAATGGTACAGATGAACCGGTTTGCAGGGCAGAAGTTGAGACACAGACGTAGAGAACAAACGTACGGACACCAAGGGGGGAAAGCAGTTGTGGGGGGGGAGGCGGTGTGATGAACTGGGTGATTGGGACTGACATGTATACATTGATGTGTATAAAACAGATGACTAATAAGAACCTGCTGTATAAAAAAATAAATATAATAAAATTCAAAAATTAAAAAAAAAAGGATTCTTTCTCTAGAATGATGATCACAGCAAGTTAAGACTCTATGAGGTGCCAGGTGCCCTGTGAGGACTTTACATGGAATACCTCTTTTAACTCTTACAAGACCCTATGAGGTAAGCGCCATTTCACAGATGAACACTGAGGCAGAGAGGTGAACCAGCCTGCCCAAGGTCAGAGGTCATGAGTGGTAAAGCTGGGTTTGAGCCCAGCCAGGTCTGACTCCAGAGCCCATGCTCAGTCTAAACCGCCACCCCATACTGGGACACATCCCCTTCCTCACTGATGTTTATTACAGTTGTGTTCTGCTTTTTTGTTTTTGTGCTTTATAAACTAAACTCTGAGCTCCAGGAGGACAGAGACTGTATACTTTGTGTGGAGTACAAAGCCCAGCACACGGCTGGCTGACTGAATGAATGAAAGAGTCCCAAGAAGGAAAAGCTGTACGCATGAAGATATTCATCAAATAACAAATCACAGGAAAGAAGACAGAGGCTGATTAAGTAAATGGTGACAGAGTCAAAAGAAGGACAATCTGGAATCATTAATGATAGCAATACAGAAAGTGCCTGGGTTCTAAGGCTGAATGAAACAAAAGTCTACCTACTCCAGGAAATGGAAGAATTATGTAAACATGGAAAAGGCCTGGAAGGAAGTGTGGGAAAAATATTTAAATCACTAGGGTGGTAAAATCCTAAGACCAATATGTGCTTCTGCCTCAAAATACTACAGGAACAGAAAGTGACCACATATGAGACCAAAAAAGAAATGTTTCTAAAAAGCAGAAATCTTTACAGGCACATACACTGACTATAAAGCAAGACACTGAATAGTAACAGTAACAACAACAAAAAAGATACCTTCCCCCCACCAAAACACACACAAAATTTTTTTTTCCCCACCTAGACATTTTAAATTTGGGGTCAAACGAAGAAATCAATATAGGAACCATGCGGTATCTAAAAGTGAAGGACAATGAGATTCTTCACTCCAATTCTCCCAGTGCCACCGCAGAGGAGGCACGAATGTGACTGTCTCCTGCATGGCACAGGGGATGCCCTGGCAATATCCGGCCCAGGTAGAGCAATGTCAGAAAACATGAGGTCACCAAGCCGGGCAGGACTCACTCAGACGAACAGGTCACAGGGAAGTCCCCTAACAACCTTTCTGCCTCTCCATAAGCTATGTCACCACTTAACCTCACTCTTGTGGAATTCTGGAGCCACAGACTTTATAAATTAAGCTGAGAAATGTTGGAGAAAAAAAAAAAAAATGTCACCCGCTACCCCACAAAAAGAAAAGGTCGGGAAGTCTAGTTGTGATCAGCTCCATCAGTCGTCTCCAAAAGGAGCTGTGTGGAGCCACAACAACAAAGCCACACACTCCCCTCCACACCCTGGCTCGGCTACCCGGGAAAACATGCTCCCACGCGTTCCCCACTGCCGAGCACTGGGACCTGGAAACCGAATGCCCTGGTGTCATTCTCCAAACACTATAAAGACAGACGTGCTTGCAAAATATAAAATTCAGTTGACCTTAAATAAGTGGTCTTAAAACGTGTATCACTGATGGGATGTATATTTAGGGTCAGTACACTCTAGGTTGCATATATAAACAAAACCAACTTTTACAGGCAACACTAACCAGGACCTTTTTTTTTTTTTAAACACGGCTATTTTTGTAGTAATTATAAAGTAATGAGACTGAGGGTTTTGGTGGTGTTTTTGCCCTTTTGGTCCTTCTCACCAATAAATCCTTCTGGCCTCATATATCTACTGGGTGCTGTCACTGAGAAGTTGTCACCATGGGAGACCACACACATATTCCGACAAAGCTGCCATTATTCCAGTGTTTTAATTTCCATTTTGGAATTATCTTTAAGGCTCAGGCATGTCCATCAGGCATGCAATCTACTGACACTGCGTGACAGGTACTACTAGTCAGGAAGCAGGCTCAGTAACAACCTCAAAAGTGGCAAACCTTTGCCCTTCAAGGATAAACTGCATTTGGGGGGGCAAAACATCCTCGGTGCCACATTATTTGCAAAAAGTGGGTAGCCAGGTGAGGAAGGCTTTGCGGCCAGGTGGGACCGACAGCTGCAGAACTGTGTGGGGTCAGCCGGGGCCTGGGCTACACCTAATGCCTCATGTCCTAGGAGACACTTCTCCACCTGAAACTTCTCCAAATTGAGAACTGGTGGCAGCAAAACTTTTGGGACCCTCACTGTGGCCTGACTGACAGTGGCCCAAGGCCATTCAGCTCTCCCCTCGGGACCAGCACGCTTCTCCGCGGGCACAGAGTCAGACAGCCCATGCCCCCAGTAACGCTCTTCCTACCTCATCAGCTGGCCACCACCCCAGGTATGATGGAGAGAGTCACCTCCATTTAGGAACCAGCCTCCCATCCCCAGGGCCACTGGGACACTGGGAAGAGAGCTCTGCCCTCCCTTCTGAGTGTCAGGACCCTCCTGCCTTAGGCATGGGGGGCACTGACTCTGGGCAGGCCCTCTTCCCTGGCGTGCTTGGGAGCCAGGGTCTGCTTTCCCACCTGACCCCACACTAGCTGTTGGGAACAGTGTTCCCTCACCTGGCCTCCATTATGTCCTGAGGCGGGCTATGCAAATGATGGTGTGTGCATCCACACACAGAGGGGGCAAGAAACAGCCTCTGTAGGTTACATGGAATAATGAAGTTCTAAGGGTGTATAAACAGAAAGAGAAATCGCAGCTGCCTGAAAGCAAGGGAGGGGAAAGATCTGAAACTGTTCTGAGCTATGGCGACACTGACGGGCTGAGACTTTCATTTTCCAAGGAAGCTTCTTAGAAACCTAGTAATTATCTGACTGGAAGTCCTGTGACACTTGTTTTCTTAAAAAAGGCACAGCTGCTCTGCTGTCATGCCAAATTAGCTCACTGAGGTTAGCAGCTCTAGAGTGACATCAACAGACAGGCTGTTAGCGGGTTTTGGATTTCTTGTCCCAATAACAGGGGCCCACGCCCTGCTCTTACTTTCAGTCGGTCCAGTTCCAGCTGGTCCCTGGCTGTGGGGAGGGCCACAGGAGAGCTGGGCATGGAGGTGGGAGAGGATGCGCTGCCCTCGCACTCGCTGAGCTGCCGGGAGAGCTTCATGATGACCTCGTCCTTGGCCTGGATGGTCTCCATCAGCATCCCCAGCTGCTCACTGAGCTCGCCCACCTTGTTCTTCAGCGTCCTTACTTCGTGCTGAAGACTCTCTTTCTCCTGGTTGAACCTCTCCAGCTGGCTAGTGAGGCCCAGAATCTGGTCGTCCTTCTGGTGCAGAAGCCCCAACGTGTCCTGCGGGACCCCCTCACAGAGGCGGCTGCTCGTGAAGTACTTGTCGTACTGGGAGGACCGCACCGTCTGCTGCAGGAGCCGCACGAGCTCCTGGGAGCCAGGGGAGGATGGAGTGGGGAGCAGGGGCGGGAGAAAAAGCAGAAATCATGGCAACTCTGCATGGAGCAACCATTGGTATTTGAGCAAATGCAGAAACTTTACTGGAAATATTTTAATAACCAACTTCCTCTTGAAGGATCTCAAAAATAGAGAAGGAAAAATATTTATTCCATAAAGGCTGTCTGTAGAGAACAATAATAGGAAACAGGAAATAGTGGACAGGCAGACTGCAATGAGCAATGGCTCCCAGTAAACGTTCATCCGTATTAAAAAATCTGAGGTCTAAATTCACTGACCTGCTGAGGAATTAAGTATAATTAGGTGTGATCAGCTCAAAAGGAAGCTGCTGTTTTAACAGGATGTGGAAACTCATTTAACAACTGTTCATGGGCCTTGGGCTGAAGACTATGCTCAGAGAGGTTTGACGTCAGGGCAGGCGTGGGCAAGGTGCAAACAACACCCTCCCCGACCCACTCTGAGGGGTCTTCACTCTCGTCGGAACTTCAAGTGTCTATGAAAAAATGACCAAGCAGAACAGCAGTGCCTAGGTCAGTGGCCGTGGCAACATACAACTCTTAGGGGAAAAGCACCTTCTGGGAAATAATGGAGTCAGAGAAACATGAAAGCCGGGTTTTGCTCCTCTGGTCCCTGGCCTGCTGATGTGAGATGAGATAGAAATGTGAGGAAGAAGAATTACCTTCTGACTGGATAAGTCTTTCCTTAACCTTTCCAGCTCTTCCTGCTGGTTCTGGACCTGCAGCTGCATCTCGGAGGCCAACTTGCTGGTGCTACCACTGCCCGATGGCCCCTCGGCTGAAGGGTCACCACTACTGTGGCGATTTTTATACGATCCAATCATGTCTTTCAAAGGGCGTTTTCCTTTGTAGGGAATACGTCCAAAATCAAAGGGAAATCCTGAGCCAGTTACTCCTACATAAAAACAAAACTTGTTTAAGTTCAGGTCAAACTCTCCTTTCGGAAATTCCAGTAAAATGCATTAACATTCCATCCATCATCCTCTAAGGAGTTCTGCGTGCGTCACTCTCTGCTCCTACCTCATTCTTGATAAAAGCCAAGCTTAAAATCAAAGATGATCTTTCATGCGATCACTGTTAAAGAAAACTTTCTCTATTTGCTCAATTTCTGCATTGAGACAGACGAAAAGAAGTCAGACTATACATTAGTACTAATGAGGAATTTATGACAAAACTGTACTAAACTCTCTCAAGATTCTTTTGCAATGTTAAGTTTATTTTCCAAAAGATCAGTTCTAAGCTGATGTGTTCATATCACTATTTTCTTATTTCAGTTACTTTGAGGACCAAAGAGAACAGAGACACAGACCAGGGAAGAACATGGTTGCTCCAAGTTCCTACAGCATCCTGAACACAAGGTGTCCCTTCCGCCGGGCACCTTAGTAAGGACAGGGCCTGCATCTACAAAGTTAGAGGGTAGGACTTAAGAGATACACTAGGGATCCCCAGCTGCTTATTTTTAGCTAATCTGTCCTTACTAAAAAAAACAAACCAAAAAAACCCCGAGTTTATGTTTTCTTAATTGTAAACACATTTTATTCTCTTCCCTAAAAACGAGTATTTAAAAATATTGAGGGATCCAAATAAATTTTAGAATAAATGGATTCAAATATATATTAAAAATATAAAGAGGAGAGTACATACTATATAGATTCCATTTATATAACTTTAGAAAACAGGCAAAACAAATCTATGATGTTAGGAGTCAGGACAGTGGTGGCGGGGGCGGGGGTGGGAGGTGAGGTAGTGACTGGAAGGGAGGGGTTTGGGGATAGAGGCTGTGACTCCTGGTACTGTCCTGTTTCTTCAAGTAAGTGCTGGCTACATGGATATGCTCACTTTGTGAAAATCCATTGAGCTGTACATTTCTGATTGGGGGACTTTTCTGTGTGTATGAAGATTAGCTTACTTCCCATGAATGACATGGACAAGAAGCTGGCAGGCTGATTCTTGGAGCGGTTACAGGAAATATCCATGAATCATCAAGATAAAAATCCAAAGACATCCTTGTCCCTCCGTGTCTTCCACACAGGCTCCCTCTCAAAGGGAGCAGGGGCTGGGCAGAGGCCGAGAAGGCTGCTCCCAGACAAGAAGCTGCTGTCCAGGGGTGCTGGGAGTTTCTTGCCCCACCCGAGTCACTAAGCCTTACTGATTCTTCCTTGCCAATCTTGCTACCATTCACCCTTTCATTTCATTCCTAGAGTCTCTATGGGGAAGTCAGAGCCAACAATGTTTACCTTCAACAATCCAAATCCCCAACACAAACCCCTGTTCCTCAGAAGGCCTTCCCAGTTGACAATGAGCCCCTCTCCTGGGTGCCCCGCTGGCTGTGCCACGTGCTGGGTCATGAGGCACGTGACCCACATCTTCACCACGTCACACTGGACCTTAGGGTTCCATGCTACCATCCTGGGGATCACAAGTAAACTCCCCACCAAAGCAAGTCATGTGGTCCTTTCCCAGGGGACAGAAAAACATATTACCTTCAGTAAATATGTGCTCTCAGTAAAGACTTCCTAAAATCCTGCCTCCTAATCCTGCCAGCTCGTGCCAGAATGAAGCATAAGGCAGAATTTCAAAATTATTTATTGTTATTTTACATTTATAACATCAATATTCCCTCAATGGGTCAATGGATGTAGGGTCATGAAGGGCTGCTTAACGCATTAGGCAAATGCCAACGGAGAGACGTATGAACGGATCAGGCTGACACCCTAAATCCTGATTGACCTTAATATCACAAAAAGAGGGAAAACCAGATACGATGTGGTTCCAGATGTGATGCAACAAGAAATATACAGCATCCCTAGCCCCCACCCCACCCCAAAATATTCTTGTCATAATTAAAAGTCAACCCTGAATCTGGGCAGGCCTCTCCTCTAGCGACAAGTGTATAGGAAATACAGGGATGGAGGAGCATATTCTGTGACCCCGCAAAAATATAATTAACAAAATCCAGAATGTGGGCAATTCCTTGACATGTAGACCCTGTTTCTTCAACAGGCGTGGCAAGGGAAACGGAACACAAAAAGCAAACAGAGAGCTGTTCAGACTGAAAGAGACCCAAGAAGACACACAACTAAACACACTTGGGGGTCTGTTAGCCCCTCATTTGCTCATGCCAACTGCAAGCAGACATTTATGGAATAACTGGGGAAGCAGACAGGAAGGATTCACTGTAAGTGTTTAGGTATAACGATGAAGCTGTGGTTCTTTTGAAGAGTCATCTCTTGGAGATACATACTAAAATGTTTACAGATGCAAAGGATTAATATCTAGAACTTCCTTTAAAATAACCCAGCTGGTGGTGGGTGCCAGGAGGGGAAGGAGCTCAGAGGAGATACAGAGGAAAAAAGAGAGGCCGTAAGTTCAAAACTGTGGAATGTGACACTACAGCTTCTACTGGTGTGTGCATGAACAAATTTCTATAAATAAAAAGTTTTAGTTTTTTTTAAATCAGTATTTCTGTAAAGAGCACCATGACTTCCAGATCTTCTATCTCCTGAAAAAGTTGCAGAACCACAGGATTGGACAGTTATTTATTTCTTGTGACATCTCATTTTCAAGCCTTTAGGTTTTATTTCCCACAAAGAGAACACAACTCCCGTTGGGTCTCGTGCTCCCAGTGATGCCTGCTACCAAAGGGTCTCCCACATCACCAGTGGTTAACAGATGGCAGCGGAGAGAATGAAAGACAGCAGGAACCACATCCATACCTTTGTTTCCTTCAGGGATCTGCTTCTTCCTTTCTTCCTGCACCATGGACTCCTCCAGGTCCTTAGGGCTTGGCTCTAAAAGCTCCCACTCTTCATTGGTGTAAAACACACTCCTCCGACTGTCGTTATGCCCTCTCCCAGGACGAAAAGAAGACATTGAATTTCTATTGGGAAAAATGAAATGTTTTTTTAAAATGGTAAAGCGAAACAATGTCACATACATACGCGTGGCAAAAACTAAACTCTGATAATAGCAAATGTTGGTGAGGATATGGAGAAATGAGAACTCTCATACACTGCTGGTGGGAGTATAAATTGGAACTATTGCCATGGAGAACAATTCAGCAACATACAGATAAGTTGAAGAAGTTTTTGCCCTAAGACCCAGCGACCCAGCATTTCTTAGATTCTTCAACATGTGCACAAGGAGACACAAACAAGAACATCCACTGCAGCACTAGTCATATTAGCAAAAAACCCCAACAACCTAAACATCTATTGACAAGAGAACAGATAAATAAACTGTAGCGTATTCATACGATCAAATACTATACATCACTTAAAGTGAATTCATTCATTCAACAAATATTAATTAAGTGCCTACAATGTGCCAGGCACTGTTCTAAATGTTTGGGATATGCTAGTGAACAAATATTCCTGTCCTTGTGGAATGTACATTCTATCTAAAGCTACATGGATCACATGGACAAATATTTTTTAAATGCTGAATAAGAAAAGAAAGAAAATTGAAGAATGACATGTACAACATGATTTTTTAAAAATCTTCAAGATAATACTATTAATAGATATCATTTATAGATACACACATATGTAGTAAAACTTAAAAATCCACACAAGAATGATAATTATCAAATACAAAACATGGTTACTCCTGTGAAGGGCAAGAAAAGAATGGGATCATGGAGACAAGAAAGGATTTGAACCATATCTGTAATGTTTTAGTTTGTGTTTTAAAAAGCGCAGCAGAAATATGACAAAATTATATAGTTTAGTAGTGGTTACCCAGGTAATCAATTTACTATACTTTACACTTGCCAGTGTGCTAAAATTATTTCATTAAAACTTTTAAAAACTAGGTTGGGATTTCTACTTCCAGTGAAGATGGACTAGGAGGGACTGGATTTACAGTCATCTGAAACAACTGAAAAACTGAACAAAATACAGGAAACAATGACTTTCAGATATAGGACATCAGGCTACACCGGGCAGTGATCCCTGAGAGGTGGAAAACAAACGAGGTAAGCCCCACCCCTGCCCAAGCTTACTGCCTAGACACTTTCCAGGCCACGGTGCAGGCAGGGGGAACCCAGGTGGAGCTCTCCCATGAACTGATAAGACAGCTGGGAATCCCAAGGCAGGTGGAGTTCACAGCGCACAGTACTGGAGAGAAGAGAGCTGTATGGAGGGCTGCAGGAACATCAGAGGGTTCCCAAGTCTCCAGATAAGTACTATCAGGCTTGTGTGTAAGAAAGCTATCCAAGAATGGGGAAAGAACCATCCCTCTGCTCACACAATCGTGTCTAGTCCCACTGGCCAGAGTGGAAAACCTCACACGTCATGGAGTATGGTAGACTGGTACTTGGAAAAAGGTTACTGACATTATCCCTAGACTAAAGCCTGCTCTCATACTACCTAAAAAAGCTTAAAAGTGAACTTCAAAAGTATCAAACTGTTTCTGAGTAATTAAACTACATTCCAGAACAAAGCTTAAGAATATATGTACAGGAACACACACAGAAATCTAGCACCCAGAAAGGTAAAACTCATAATATCGGGCATGCAATAAAAAATTATCAGGCGTGCAAAGAAGTAGGAAAATACAACTCATTCTAAGGAGAAAAATCACTAAACAGAAACAGACTCAGAAATGACAAATGATAAAATTAGTGGACAAGGATTTTAAAAGTTACTGTAACTGTTTCCCCACGTTTGAGAAGGTAGAAGAAAGACTGAACATGTTAAATAGAGATATGGAAGATGTGAGAGAAAGATCCAAATCAAAACTTCTAGAGATAGAGGAAAACACAGGCAGAACATTCTTTGACATAAATCACAGCAATATTTTTTTAGATCCGTCTCCTAGAGTAATGGAAACAAAAGCAAAAATAAACAAATGGAACCTAATTAAACTTAAAAGCTTTTACACAGCAAAGGAAACCAGAAACAAAATGAAAAGACAACTTACAGAATGGGAGAAAATATTTGCAAACGACACAACCAACAAGAGATTAACTTCCAAAATATACAAACAGTTTACACAGCTCAATATTTAAAAACAAAAAACAAAAAAAACCCAGCACAAGCAAAAGAATGGGCAGAAGACCTAAATAAGACATTTCTCCAAAGAAGACATACAGATGGCCAACAGGCACGTGAAAAGATGCTCAACATTGCTAATTATTAGAGCAAGGCAAATCAAAACTACAATGAGGTATCACCTCACACCAGTCAGAATGGCCATCGACAAAAAGTCTACAAACAATAAATGCTGGAGAGGGTGTAGAGAAAAGGGAACCCTCTTGCATTGCTGATGGGAATGCAAATTGGGGAACAGTATGCAGGTTCCTTCAAAGACTAAAAATAGAGTTACCATATGATCCAGCCATCCCCCTCCTGGGCATATATCCAGAAAAGACGAAAACTCTAATTTGAAAAGATACATGCACCTCAATGTTCACTGCAGCACTATTTACAATAGCCAAGACATGGAAGCAACCTAAATGCCTGTCGACAGATGAATGGATAAAGAAGAGGTGGTACATATATACAATGGAATATTACTCAGCCATAAAAAAGAATGAAACAGTGCCATTTGCAGCAACATGTTTGGACCTAGAGATTATCACACTAACTGAAGTAAGTCAGGCAGAGAAAGACTATCATATGATATCATTTATATGTGGAATTGAAGAAACTGACACAAATGAACTTACCTATGAAATAGAAACAGACTCACAGACATAGAAAGCAAACTTATGGTAAGCAAATTGATGGTTACAAAGGGGGAAGGGGATGGGGAGGGCTAAATTAGGAGTTTGGAATTAACATATACACACTACTATTATAAAACTAACAACGAGGACCTACTGTATAGCACAGGGAACTATATTCAATATCTTGTAATAACCTATAATAGAAAAGAATCCGAAAAAGAATATATAACTGAATCACTCTGCTGTATACCCGAAACTAACATAACATTGTAAATCAACTATACTTCAATTAAAAATAACCTAGGGGGCTTCCCTGGTGGCGCAGTGGTTGAGAGTCCACCTGTCAATGCAGGGGACACGGGTTCGTGCCCCAGTCCAGGAAGATCCCACGTGCCGCGGAGCGGCTGGGCCCGTGAGCCATGGCCGCTGAGCCTGCGCGTCCGGAGCCTGTGCTCCGCAACAGGAGAGGCCACAGCAGTGAGAGGCCCGTGTACCGCAAAAAAAAAAATAAAAAATAAAAAAATAACCTAAGGATAAAACTACGATGTCTATGATGAAAATACACTAGATGGGATTAATAGCAGATGAGATGTTGCAGAAGGAAAGATTAGTGAACTTGATGACAGTGCAATAGAAACTATCCAAAATAAAACAGAGAGAAGAAAGACGAAGGAAGAATCAACGAGCCATGGGGTAATGTTAAGCATGTAATAATGTCAACTGATGTTCAACAAGGGTACCAAGAAATTCAATGGGGAAAAGACAGTCTTTTCAAAAAGTGGTACTACAACTGGTTATCTGTATGGGAAAAAATGAACTTCAACCCTTACTTCACATAATACATAAAAATTAACTTAAAATATATAAATGAGTAAGAATTAAAACCCTTAAGCTTCTGGAAGAAAACATTTGTGACGTTGGGTTAAGCGAAGATTTCCTACACAGAACACAAAAAGCACAATCTGTAACAGATTAAAATGATAAAAGAACTTTATCAAGATTTAAAAGTTCTTCTTGGAAAAATATTTGCAAAACCTATATCTGACAAAAGGCTTGTATTCAGAAAATATAAAGAACTCTTACAACTCAATAATAAGAGAATAAACAATTCAATTTAAAAGTGGGTGAAGGACTTGAATAGTCATTTCTCCAAAGATATACAGATGGCCAACAAGTACATGAAAAGATACTCAACGTTATTAATTATCAGGGAAATGCAACTTAAAACCAAAATGAACCACACCCACCACAATGGCTAAAGTTAAAAACACCAGCAAGTGTCCAAGTGTACCAAGTGTCAGGAAGGATGTGGAGCAACTGCAACAGTCATGTACTGCTAATGGGAACACAGAATGGGGCAGCCACCTGGAGGACAGTAGGGCAGTATGTTATCAAGTTGAATATACACTTAACTAAACAGCTCAGCAATCCCAATCCCACATATTTACCCAAAAGAAATGAAAACATGTCTACATGTAGGACTTGGATGTGAATACTCAGAGCAAGCATTATTCATAACAGCCATGAACTGGATATCAACCAAAGATCTGTCAACTGGTGAATGGAAAACCAAACTGTGATATATCCATACTTACTGCATACTATTAAGGAATAAAGAAGGAATGAGATGTGAAAACACTCAACAAAATAAATGAGTCTCAAAAAGATGATGCTAAATGAAAGAAGACATACAAATACAGTATGATTCCATATATATGAAATTCTTAGAAATTTCATGCAAAGGGGCATGAGGGAAACTTGTAGGTGGTGGAAATGCTCTATATCTTGATTATGGAGGTGTTTACATGACTATGTATAATCTCTAAACTCCATCAGCCTGTACACCTAACATAGATAAATTATACTTCAGTAAGTTTATTAAAATAAAGAAACAGGGACTTCCCTGGTGGTGCAGTGGTTAAGACTCTGCACTCCCAATGCAGGGAGCCCGGGTTCAATCCCTGGTCAGAGAACTAGATCCTGCATGCATGCCACAACTAAGAGTTCGCATGCCACAACTAAGGAGCCCATGAGCCGCAACTAAGGAGCCCACGTGCTGCAACTAAGGAGCCCATGAGCCGCAACGACGGAGCCCACATGCTGCAACTAAGACCCAGCACAACCAAATAAACAAGGAAATATTTAAAAATAAAGAAAAACAAATATAGAAGAGGAAGAAATGTGCATCATTTGGAGTTTCCTGAGGTAGA